CTTGACTTTAGTTCAGCCTGCACTAGGAAGTGAAACCAGTTTCCAAACAACAATAACAAAGCTGATTATCACAGGTACTTTATTACCTCATTGAAAACCTGACTAACACAGAACTCAACTGTGTTTATTTATATCTCAAATGCAGCATTGAAAGTAGTGTCTCTACTACCAGACTGACCTTAACTCACAGAGATCCACTGGCCTCTACTTCCCAAGTGCTGCTGGGATTAAAGGTATGATCTGCTATGTCCCACTCAGATTGGTCAATTTCATTTCATTTTATTTTATTTTATTTTTTTTTGTTTTTAAAGACAAGGTTTCTCTGTAGACCAGGCTGGCATGGAACTCATAGAGATCTGCTTGCTTCTGCCTCTGGAGTGCTGGGATTAAAGGCATGTACCACCACCGCCCAGCTTAAGTTGGCCAATTAAAAAAAAGATTTATTTTTTAATTAATATGGTGGGTTTTTTGTTTGTGTGTGTGTGTGTGTGTGTGTGTGTGTGTGTGTGTGCACGTGAGTGCACATGAGTGTGGAGGCTAAAAAGAGCATGGGATCCCCTGGAGCTGGAGAGTCTAGGTGATTGTTGGCAGCTAGATGTGGGTGCTGGGAACTGAATTCCTGTTCTTAGGAAGAGCAGCAAGTACTCTTAAGCAATGAGTCATCTCTGGAGTCCCTGAACTGACCGAGTCTATACAGAAAGTCTGTAAGCTTTCATAAAGGAGGGTGGGACTTTATGACCCACAACAGCTGTAGGAGGGACAGCACTTGTGTGAGCTGAAGGCTGAGAAGGGGCTATAGGGATAAGGACAGAGTGGGGGCGGGGTGTGTGTGTGTGTGTGTTTCAGGAGTCAACATGTACCCAGTGTATGTGAAGGCCTGTGGTTATGAACACTAGAGAGAGAAACTGATAGAAAGCAAGGGAGGGGCCGGAGAGATGACTCAGTGGCTAAGAGTACTTGTTCTTGTAGAGGAAGGACCTAGGTTTGGTTCCCAGCACCCGCGTGGTGACTCATAACCATCTGTAACTCCAGTTCTGGGGAATCTGATGTCCTCTTCTGACCTCCATGGACACCAGACATGCATGGGCTGCACAGACATACATGCAGGCAAAATACACATAATAAAATTAAATAAATCTCAAAAAGCAGAAAGAAAACAGAAAGGGGCAACAAAGATGAGAGCATGGGAATCTGGAGGTCATGTGACCTACATGTGGCCTTTACAGATATGGAGCCTCAGATACCAGTTGGCTAGAGTCTGGGAGGCAGGTGCCAAGTTGTCTGATAAATAGCTGGTCAGAACGTGTTGATTTCTGT